TCAAAAATGTAATTATACTACTATTCACAATTATCCTTATATTGTTCAAAGATAATAACACAAGAAGTTACAAGCTAAATTGAATTGATAATTTGTAAATTACATGATATGTGTCCTCTACAAAGTTCAATCTCTATAAGATTCCAACACCACAGTTTGCAGAATTTGATCATCACTAAAACACAAATAGGTTATGATTCTAACAATTCCTAAACTTATGTAATAAATTACTACCAACAGGAATTAACGATAAAATATGTTAAGAAACGAATACCTATACATACAATAACCTACAAGAATTTAACTCTGGGTGTGTGTGTGTGTGTGTGTGTGTGTGTGTGTGTGTGTGTGTGTGTGTGTGTGTGTGTGAGAGAGAGAGAGAGAGAGAGAGAGAGAGAGAGAGAGGGTAGACTAGAATACATAGTGGTTCGACTCTATCATGCTCAAAGGAGCCTACTCCATTCTCCAAAGGTTTCCTATTGAAAGTTGTTCTTCCACTATGTTTTAACAAATATCACACGAGTTTATACAATCATTAATCCATAATAATGTTAAGAAAATAAATCTTCCATTTGGATATTGACTTCTACACATCCTTTACGTTGAACTCTCTATGAAATCTTTACTTGATTCTCCCTTCTCGAACCTTCCAACTTGATCAGTCTTCTCTAAGTCTTTGTGTGTGGAAATCACCCTTAATCCCACTGATTTCTTAAGTGATGAATTGTCCGGAGATTGAGAAGAACTCCTATCTTGTATGTAGGCTTCCACACATCTCTACCAAGGTTAACCTGGAGAGAAGAGCCTAATTCTTTTCATTGGAATTTGTCACTACCGGTCACAATAATCCTAATCTTACAAACCTCCGAAAGTTATTTCCCTTATCTTCATGAAATGATAGTTCCAAGAAACATCTCCCTCAACAATTACAAATCTTCATAATCAAGATCTAAATTTAAACTAGACACCAGAATTTTCATGTTCTCCTCTGTTTGATTTGATTCGAGTCATAAATTGTGAGTGATTCGAATCACACACAATAAATCTCAATTTTTCAAGTTTTTCAAAATAGTTTGAGATCTCACTTTCCACATAACATGGACCAACATAAAATATGATTCTTGTTCCATTAAATCAACCAGTTGACTTAAAACATAATGATCATACTCAAATACAAACAAATAAGTTATGCATACTAAAACGATTTGATTCAAATCTTAGTCCAAAGATGTTCAATATAAGAGGAGAGTCAGTAAACAATAATAAAGAAAGAAAGCTTAAGAGACAAGAAAAAAATCATTTTGGAGTTCTTCCTTTATGTATTAGAGACATGCAACTTCAGAAAGAGAATTAAATGAGAAAAAAAAATCAAAGGTGAAACCACCCATAGATATAGATTTAGGTGGTGACACATGTTTTAATGCATTTTGGTTGTTTCATTTTTCTAAATTTTTGTCTTTCAAATCATTTCCAAATCATGTTCTGTTATAACAAATTTTGTATGAATAGTGAGGGGTTAATCCAAAATTGTACTTCTTGACTCATCTATTTTTTTTTTTGTTATTTACAAAACAAAATAGGGTCAATCTAGAAGAGCTGCACTCCTATAGACACCTTTTTTTTGTCATTTACAAAACAAAATAGTGTCAATTCGAAAATACATCTTTGAAATATCCTTTGAGGCATGATTTGCTTTTTATGGCTCATATTAATGTAAAACATGTATAAATGTGGGTTCCCCTCATGTTGTTAGCAAAACCGCACATTGAATTTCTCAATATTCATATCTCGCTTTTATCTACTTCAATGGCGAGATGCCCCATCTTAAATTTAGGTTCACAAAGATCATCTATCTTGTTGATTTGAAGTCCACACTAGAGAATCTGTTGTGATACCCATACAATCGAAGGGTCATGAAATTTTATTATCGTTCACACTCGATTGACAACAAAGAGAAGATACAATTCAACAAGTTTGAGAAGAACACAGGTAAAGATTTAAATGTTATGTGAAGTAAATTTCACTGTTACGAAACCAAAGGTCCGACTGAGATAGATGTAGAGGTTGCGAGATTTGAAGGTGAGAAAAATACATAAGAAATGGGGGTTGAATTGTGTATGCCAAAAACGTTTCTCTTCTGAAAATGGAACTTTATAATTTGAATCCACCCTCATAATCTAATATCAGAAATAGTTACTGCGGCGAAAATAATGTGATCAGAAGTAAAAACAAGCAACACACAAAAATTATCTTGGTTCCTCTCCTCAACTAAGAGTAGTCAAGTCCTCTAGCCTCAAAAAAAGCTTTTCACTATAACCAAACAAATTACACTTGCAAGAGACTTCAATGCTCAATCAACCTAGAAAGAGACTTCTACTCAAGCAGTTTTGCAAGAGACTTATGCTCAATCAACCTAGAAAAAAACTTTACTACTCAAGTACACAGACAAGAGACTTCAATGCTCAAGCACGCAGGCAAGAGACTTTCTCTACTTTAAACAAATTATTTAGTAGAAAAGTTAAGTAATATACTTAGATTACACAATCAGAAGTATGGCAGTTATGCAACAACGACAAAGGTTGTTCACCTCTTAATATTTCTAAGATATATAAAGATAAGAAATATTAAGATCTTATGTAATAACAGTTACAAATAAAGTCTAGAGTTATGCTCAAGATATTTCAATGTGTTGTGTTGTTGTACACTTTCCTTCTAATCTTCACCTTCCTTTTATAAAGGTAGAAAAAGAGTCATTGGAGGGTTTGAACATAAGATCTAACTTAGTGAAGAAGCATGCCAAAAGAGACGTTGGGGAATGTATCTGATTATAAGCATTGTCCACTAAATAAAGGCATTGTTCACAACATCTTTCGAAGTACTATGCGTCTATCAAAAGGTAGAATAGAATGAAGAGATCACATCATCATTCCTTGTGCTTTGCAAAACGAAACTCTAGTTGTCTCTTGCCAGAAACCATGCGCTTTGAGAAGACTTGTCTGCTTTTGATTCAGGGTACGGATCAGAGACACATTTTTCCTTTAGAGTCTGAGCTATCATCAGAAGCTGAAACATTACACCAGAGTTTGAACCTTTAGAGGCTGATGAACTCAATCAAAGTCACCAGATTCTAATCAGTCAGGATCTGAGTAACATTGCTTCTCCACATATGCTTTCAACAGGATTAATTTATTAGTGAACTCTAAGTTTGTGATCTTGAACACTTGAACATATGTTAGTATACCCATTTGTTCTCTAAATACTTTGTTATCATCAAAACCCAAAGGATATGAACAATCTTATTCTAACAAAATTGATAGAAGATATCTTAAAGATGTTGAAACGTCCTCAACCATCATTTAATGATGAAATGTAATATTAGATTTACATTAATTATTATCTATATAATATTTTTTTATGTATGTCATAACAATAATTAAAGTTAATTTATGTTATTCTTCTCATTCTGTATTTGTTTCTAGTTTGAGAAAACAAAATAAATTCTAGAAATAAAGTTTCAAATTTAAGGCATGAACCTTTTTAGTACGTTAGAAAATGTATTTTCGTATTTTAGAGTATTTATAATTTTTCACGAGAGTGCGCGAACACCACTAAAAGCACAATAAGCAATGTTCTTCATATTCACACTCTGAAATGTTCTTCATATTCACACTCGAAATGTCCAATCTTATGCGTGAAGGGATGTCTTAAAAATCTGACAACGAGCTTGAAGATGTGTTTATAAGTAAACAATTCTCACCTTACAAAAAAAAAGGAGTAAACTCTAATCCTAAAATTCCTCATTTTCAATCCTCCAATTAGAATTTGCAATATTGTTAATTTTATTTGTCTCCTTTGATTAGCTTATTATGGAAATGTTTAAGTATTCACATCTCCCTCCATTAATCAATGAGTTTTGCCTCTTTGTTTCAACCATATTTCTTCATATAACAATATGTCATCAATATTAGCTTTAACAATGATATGAAATTTATTCAAAGCATATCATAAAAAGATTAAGTGTATGAATGACAAACTAATTCCAATCAGTGAGAACATTATTAACAAGTTCCATCCAATCCTCTAGCCATTGAGAAGCCATTTGAATATTATTCTAAAATATAGAGCAAGTAATGCTGGTCATTTACAAAAGTAAGTTTATTTTAAACTTTATTTGTCACATTTCAACAAAAAGAAAAAGAAAACCCACCTTTGCTATTTATAAGAGCAGGCGTGGACCTCACTTCTCCACCAACCATACCATGACAGAGCTTATTTTACATTTCAAAAGTGCATGGCACATAATAATTGACTAATCAATATATCAAAGTGATTTCATGTGGTAGACAGCTAAAAGAAAGTCCATTCAATCACTTCAAAGGATAGTCGCTTATTACATAAATGCTCATGTAGTGTAAAGTATAAACTATTTATGTAACAAGAACAACATGAATGCTGCTACATTGTCACTACAAAGCAAAACATTAGAATAACTAAGACCGAACCAAAGAAGTAAATTTCCGATTGCAGGGCGGAGCGGCCGACCCTAAAAATGGGATAGCGGCCACCCACTAGCCACTAGCACCGCTATTGACTACTCTGCTAAGAACTTGTCTCAAATAAACCTTTGTAAATCAAACTATAGAAAGGCCATTTCTTGTCAAATCTAGTTTTCTGGAAAAACAAAAAGAAATATTTATATAGCTATGACAGTGACATGTTCTGCTTTATTTGATTCATAAGACCGGAATAAAAATTTAATATGTTGTTCATCTCATTGTAATGCATTATAAAAAGTATATAAATTGAGAACATTAAAAAGCATATAGATCTGTTGTATTTTTTCAAATGTTATAGTAAACACTTCGGTATCCATGAATCCACCATCTTATAAGCAAGTTGAAACACATAAATCATATAAATTTTCAAGTAAAAACAGTAGAAAATCACCAGAAACTTGAAACAATTGTCAATAGCAGCTGTTTGATATTATAGAGAACATACTACGGAGCAATTTCAAGCCTCGGCTCAAAGCAGAAACCAGTGAAAAGATGTAGAGGGAACCTCTTTGTAACGGGGCATTTGTGTGACCATTTCCATTGTTTAATGTTCATGTCAAATGTGAGAAGTGCAGGAGATCCATAACTTTGAATGTATATTAGATCATCGACGCCACTGCTAGCGAAAACATCATCGAACTCTCCAAAGCCTTGGAAGTATTTGTGAGGCATTCGGACAATCTCTTCCCACTTCCTATCATGAAGAACCCAGATACCGATTCCTTTGATTATGTCTGGTTGATCATGTTTGCCAATGCCTCCAACCATTACAAGCTTCTCCTTCATGTTCATTAGACGAGCACATGTCAGAGAACACGGTATAGGAATAAAGCTCAAGCTAGCTTGAGAAAATCGGTTGGAGATATTATATGCGACTAATGCATGACGGTTTTCTGGCAGAACGCCACCAGCATAGTAAACTACAAAGTAGAGCACACTGTTGCATATCACACTCTCATCACCACCTCTCCACCCCGTCAAAACCTCGGTTAGCGGCGTCGCCCACGCCTCCTCCTTCGAATTGTATATATGAATTGAGATATCCCACTGAAAAACATTTTCTGGGACTTGCTTTGATTTCACAATTGCCACAATATAACCATGGGATTCCTTGTCGACCGAAATCGCTAATGCACCGTAATCAGAGCTCATCCCCGGAGGCCATAGAAGCTTCCTGCAACTTTTAGTAATAGGGTTGCACATGCATAATTCTGTTCTGCTGTCATTGTCCATGAAGCAAACTAAGCCATATGACGAAGAAATGAACCAATTAGAAGTTCCAATGAAGGGGAGTTCAATGCAATACCATTTCCGAAGGTTGGGATCATAAGCATGACCGGTTGGTTCATCAGAGCACGTGAACATAAAATACCAAGGTTTCTGTGGTAACAAATGGGAAGGGTTCCATAAAAACCTTTCTGCAGTCACATTCCATCTTTTGCACACACAGCTTGCACGGAAAATGCTTGCAAGGGGAAGATAGGACAAGATTCGCTCCAATAAATCATCAGGCAAAATCACGTCCACAGAAACAGCATTCACTTCTTTATCAATTTCCTCACCAAGATCCAAATCAAAGTCCTCAGTCTTCTTTTGCAAATAATAATCATCATAGTGGCTGATCCATGCTATTTCTCCAGCCATAATATAGTAGAAAGCAAAGCCCTAATGAATAAATATTTAAAAACAACCAGTTAATTATTAAAACAAAGTAACACAGTAAAAGAAAACAGAGAAGAAAGTGCCAATAGATAAAATAAAAAGGACAACTTAAACCGCACAAATAACACCATTGAAAGACCATAAACATGAAAGTAATGTCCTCTTAAACTTAAAATTATACAAAATATTAACCTGGCAAGAGGACCACTATTAAGGTATAAAGGGAACTTATAGTTATAGCCATTACATATCTTCCTTTTAAGGAAGGTTGTCGATTGCGAAAAATAGTGATTTGCTCAAATTCCACTATGCTACTAAAACGCTATAGCGCCACAATAACAGCCATTTGACAAGACTTTGTACTAGATAGTGCATCACGGAACAAAAGCAATTTGTTTAAATTCCGTTATGCTGTGTCACTATAGCACCTATTTGACAATGCTAAGAAAAATATTACACTGTAAAATATAGTCCAGTCCTTGAGTTGCTAGGTCAGATCATAAACTGATTTGATATCAGCAATCAAAACCAAATCCTAAAGATGCAACTTTCAAACTTTCTGATTCATTTCAAGCATTTAAAATGGCACTAAAATCTCACATTTTAGAGGGAAAAAACATGTTTCATAAAAAAATTTGAATTTTTCTACATAAAAAAGCAAAATTTAGAAGAAAAAACAGCAAATCAAATCAAATCAAACGATTAAACCTCCCAAATCTCGAGATAACTAACTACCAAATCAGCAGAAAAATCAATCTGTTACAGAAATCAAATTCCAAAAACACCTAAAAAAGACCAAAAAAAATAGAGGATTGAAAGATGAAATTCGTTAGAAAAAAGGTACCTTGTTTGAAAGAGAGAGAGTACAGTATTGTCAGTGTGAAAAAGGGTGCGTGGTCATTCAGCGAAATGGAAGAAGAAGGAAACCCTAGAAGCTTAAACAACGAAATGGGTTGCTCTAGATTTGGTTTAAAGACAGAGAAAGTAAATAGAGAGAGAATTATTTTTCTTGTTGGTGATGAGACAAAAACGAGACGACATGAAGTGCGGTTTTATTTGTCTTTCGGATGGATGGTGCTTTTGTGTGGGGAAGAGGGAAGTGCGTGAACTTAGTGTTTTTTTACAAGAAAAATAATTATTCTCATTTTCATTTTTTTAACCCCTATACATTTTATTCAAATTAAAAACATCAACACTTTGATACACTTATATTTAGTTGCATATAATTACTCTCATTAAAAAAACAATTAGTTGCATATAATTACTTTCCTTCAATCAAACAATTATATTTAATGTCATATCATCTTTTATATATATTTTATTTAAAAATAAATTAATATTTTAGATTATTTTATATTCAAGGTATCAATACACAATTACTTATTATGATATCTAAAAATTAAAAAAATAAAATTTAAAAACCTCTCTTTTTCTCAAGAGTTGTTTGGTATATTGAACTTTTGAGATATAAATCCACCGATTCTTTAATTTTTTTTAAATATAAAAATCATAATTATTTTTGTCTAATTATCGATAAAAAAATTTAGAAAATTGTCGTTAAATTGTCTCTAATTGAATAAAAAATTAATATGATATGTTTCAAAGAGTTAAGAAATTAATATAAATATTTTTTAGTTAAAAGATCAAAATGACTTTAAAGTTCACATACAAATTCAAAAAGAATATTAAATTCTATTTAGAATTTAAAAGACAAAAAATTGAAAACAAAGAATCAACAGAAAAATAAAATAAAAATAATAAAAAGAGAGAAAAAAAGTCAAAAATACAAAGTTTATGGCATCAGCGAATGAAGAATAAAAATACCACTATCAAATTTGGGAACATTAATCTCTCAAAACCAACTATGCTTTCTTCTTTAAGAAGGTGCTAGAGGCGAAATACATGGAAGAACAATCTGCAGAAATGCTTCTATTATATCACATTTTTTATTTGCAGATGATTACTTCCTCTTTTTCAGAGCGACTTTAAATGAAGCTAATATGATAAAGAGTATTTTTGCCACGTACGAAGAAGCTTCTCGCCAAGCTATCATTTCCAAAAATATGAATTCTTTTGTAGTAGGAATATGGATCGAGATTTGAAGAATAACTTGACTATCACTCTTAAGGTCCAACAAGTTTTGGGGACTGGTAAGTACTTAGGAGTCCCTTCTATGATTGGTAGAAGCAGAAAAGCTACTTTCAAGTTTACTAAGGACAAAATTTAGAAAAGGATCAACTCCTGGAGCATCACGAGTCTTTCGCAAGCTGAAAGGGAAGTCCTTATCAAATCAGTTCTTCAATCTATTCTGACATGCATTATGAGCATTTTCTTGCTTCTCTCCTCATTAAGTGAGGAAATCGAGAGAATGGTGAATTCTTTTTGGTGGGGACATAATCAAGACCGAGCAAAAGGTATTAATTAATTTTCCTAGGATTGGTTATTTATGCTGAAATCTGATGGTGGAACGAGATTCAAAAATCTAAGTGCATTTAATTATGCTATACTCAGTAAACAAGCCTCAAATCTTATGTCAAAGCTCCGCAACTTAGTCACTCGTGTTTATAAGGCCAAGTATTTTCCCAAATGTGAGTTTCTTGATTATGTCATAGGTCATAATTCCAACTATGTTTGGAAGAGTATACAGAGTTCAAAATTTATGGTGAGAGGAGGGTATAAATGGAGTATTGGTTTAGGAGAGAGCATCCCAGTTTGGGGGCAAAAATGGTTGCGGGACAGCACTATGATAGTTAATCCTTGGCCTCATATTCAGGAAGTGAAAAATTTTAAAGTAGCTGATCAGATGAGTAATAATGGTAAACAATAGAACACTAATTTAATTCAGTCCCTCCTAGGGGGAGGAGAAACTTTAAAGGTTCTGAACATTCCGCTCTTTGAAGTTGTAACCTTGGATAAATTAGTATGAAGCTTAGAAAAAAAATGGCAAATTTTCTGTTCGTAGTGCTTATCGGGACTGTATTAGAGATGCCATAGATACTACCCACCTGAGAGATGATAAGAATTGGCAGATGATTTGGAATATGAAGATTCCTCATAAGATCAAAAACTTCAGGTGGCGGTTATGCAGGAATTGTGTGCCTACTAGAATGCGTCTTTTGGAGAAAGGAGTTGGTTGCCCTTCAAGTTGTGCTATTTGTGGTGAAGAAGATGAGAGATATTTTCACTTATTCCTCCAGTGTTTGAAGAGCACAGAATGTTGGGAGAAAGTAGACCTTTGGCCTCTGTTGTAGCAGACCCAGAATACCGAAGGAAACTTTGCTTATCTGTTCTTCTCTTTATTGCAGGTTCTGAACCAAGATCAGCGACTGCTGTTCTCTACCATTCTACGGAGTATTTGGAAGTGTAGAAATAATCAGACATGGAATTTTATTGAAGATTCTTCGAATTCTATTTGTATTTGTGTGTCTTAATTGTTGGCGGGATAAAGAAATGCTCAAACCCAAGGATATAACAGGTTAAATCAAGCAAAATGTTAAGTGTAATGAAGTGGAACAAACCTTCGACATAATATTTTAAATGCAATATAGATGTTTCCTTTGTTGACAATAAGGTGGGTCTTGGAATGCGCATAAGTGATAGCGAAAGTTTGTATGTTGTAGCTCAAATAGAGTGGTTTGCTTCTTGTACTAAGGTTGATGTAGGAGAAGCCTTTAGGTCTTTTGGCAACTCTAAAATGGGTGCATGAGTTGAATTTTGAGAACGTGATTTTTGAGATGGATTCTAAGAGTGTGGTAGATTATGTGAACCTCCAGCCTCTTAATGATTCGGACTTTGGCGCCATTACTAAGAAATGTCAGCGCCTTCTCTCTTCTTTATTTAGGAACTCTCATGTCGAGCTCGTTATGAGACAAGCGAATATGTTTGCTCATGCCTTGGCACGTGTGACTCCATCTCTTGCTAGTGTTCACATTTTCATTGATGTATCGTCATGTATTACTACTTATATTATAAATGAGTTGAGTTGAATTTTTTCCCGTCAAAAAAATAAAAATAATCATGTTAAATGTATAACTTCAAATCAAATAAATATTAAATATTTATATATTCAAAATAATTGTCAAACAAATTCACATATACACCGGATAATTTTATAAATAAATCATTTTAGAATCAACAAAACCAATTCTAAAATTCAAAGTATACCAAATTTAAAGAATAAAATCTTTAGTTTTACCTTATAATTTTGAGAGACATTCAAAATATTCAAAAAAATTCCATAAATAATATATAATAACTAAATATATATTAAAAAATTTAATATTTATCTTATCTCTCAAAATCTAAATTCATGTGCATATTTTATGTGAATCAAATTAAAAGATAAAACAATAATTAAATATCAAATAAAATGATTTGATAATAAAAAATTTTATTTTATAATTAAAAACCAAGAATAAAATCACCAGATTTAAATTCAATATTTATTTTTTTCAAATGATTGAAACAAATATATATTTATAAATATATACTCTCTAGCCACTAATAAAGTGTTGAAAATCAAAATCCTTAATAAAAAATATTTGTATGATTCTATATTATTGATTATAACCATATATCTGATTCCAAATACATTTATTATAATATATATTAAATAACACATCTCTCAAAAAAAAACCAAAATTTTCACAAATACATTTATTAAAAAGAATATAAAATATTATTTCCAATAAAAACTTTATCATATAATTTGCAAGTCAAATTCATAACTTTATTTGATAGAACATATTATATTTGAATCAATTCTAAAATTTGTGATATATATCACAATAGAATATTTAATTTCAAATAAAAAACTGTATTTATAATATATTTTTTTGGTTTTTATTTTATACAAAATTACGATGAAAATAAATATTTAAGATTATAATGCAATTAAGGATCGAACAATTGCAATCATCCATGAAGAAATATTTATATATAGAAGATGTATAATCTTTTATTTAAAAGAACATAAAAGAACA